TTAAGTTTAAAAAATTTGCTCTAATAAGCTGCTTTCTACGACAACTTTTTAAAAAATTACTTTTTTTCACAATAATTTTATAATCATCTTTACAAAAAATCACATTTATTTCAAATGGACATTTAAAATAATGTGTAAAATCAAATTTTTATTTTATTTATATTCTAAGAGGAGGCATTTTAAACATGAAAGAAGATGGTAGTTGGAGAATGACATCCATCATAAAAATGACAGAATATGAATGACTCATCACAAAACCTTGATATTTTAATTTTTCGAAAATTATTGAACTTACAAGGTCGAGAACCAACCCGTTGTATCGGTTCTATGTACTATATGAGTGATGATAAAACATTAATATGAAAGAATTGGCACAAACTAATTAGTTCAATTTCAGCCTAATGAGTTCTTTGATCGATCATAATATGTCAATGCGGAGGATTTCCATACATAAGATATAGTTCTTATGTATTTACATATATAATATCTAAATTTTAATATTTCCTTATAGAACTCTTTATTGTATCAAATAAATCAAAAAAAAAAATGCATGAAAAGTGCATTTTACTTTTACAAAAATAAGATTTGCTTATTTTAATGTAATTTAAAGATTTGGATGGTAATTAAATTAATATTAAAAAGATGATGCTATTTACATAAATACATACAAAATTATATGATATTTACATAAATCTCTCAATAATAATTTTTTTCCCAAATTCTTACCATTATTAACATAACATCAACTAATCTACCTCAACTCATAAATTGAACCACAAGGGCAATCAATAAAGTGAAGGGGCCACCTTCTTAGCCTTATTTAAAGACATGAACATCATGAAATCCTTTTATTTTTATTAAGTTAAGCATGAAACATAATGCATTGGATGTGACATTTCCTTTTATTTTTAAATTGCAATGAATGGATTAATTATTCTCGTGGATTCTGAACGTCGTCCGGAGACAAATCATAATGAGCCACATCACTCATTTACTCGGTACCACGGCTCAAAACTGCTGACGTAGATACACCTGATTCGCCACCTGACGTAGAGCCGTGTCTAGCCTCCGCACAGAATAGTTTCTCTAATGAGTGAGCCATCATCTGTTTAATAAAGGATTAAGTTCAAATAACTCTAAATTGTAATGTTTTTTATTCCAAGTGTAGGGTTGTAGATCTTGATATTAATTTGAAGTCATATCTAGTATTCAAATTTTGATCAATTTGATGCAATCTTTAGCTCTAAATGTCAATCAATTGCTACACTATCGCTCAAAAATTTTCTAACGTGAGTATCAAAGTGGTTGAGTGATTGAGGGATTCTGTCTCACCTCTTTTAACTCAAAGTTCAAACATACTACCAACTAATATAATTGAACTTTCTGTCATGATACTTTCAATTAGTATTGAGCACATCAAATTCAATCATATTAGTTCTTTGTATGCTTAAATTTTGTGTTAATAGCAAAGAGATAGAGCTCCTAAATTACTGAACTACTCATTTATTTAATATTAGGGAGATTTACATACATACCACCCTATAATACTCTATTTACATATTTAACACTAAAACTTTAATATTACATACATACCAACCTTAGTTTATTTTCATATCACATTTGGTAAAAATGAAATATATGAGTGGTTGGAAGGAAATATGAGTGACATATTTGATATTAAAATAAAATAGAGGGGTATATATGTAATATTAAAGTTTTGGATGTTAGATATGTAAATAAGATGGTATAAAGTGGTATGTATGTAAATTTCCCTTAATATTAATATATTTTTAATATAAATAATAGATTTCAATCAATTTAACTGTAAATAATAGAAAATTAACATAAAAAAGCAATAATAATAATAATAATAATTAAATATAGAAGATTCATAAGAAAGAGGCCAATCAAAACAAATTTTAAAGATAATGTACGATTATTTTAATTATATAATAGTTATTCACACAAAGTGAACATATCCGTTGTAGTCTAGTTGGTTAGGATACTCGGCTCTCACCCGAGAGACCCGGGTTCGAGTCCCGGCAACGGAATTTTTTTTTTTAATTTTATTAATAAAGGTAATCTCACCGCAGAACGATGGGCACAGTTCTATCTGCCATTGATCTGCATGTCTAATTAAAATAAAAAAAAATGGATAATATTATTTTTAATAAGTTAATTGTAAATTAAAAATTTGTTTATAAATTAATGATTCAGCACTCATTTTAAATAAACCTATTTTTCAATTTTTATTTTTAGCACAATAAAGAATAATTTGTATATATTATTTTCTCTATTTATTATAACATAGCACTGAAAAAATATGTTTTTGTGAAAAATGCGATGCCAATATTTGCGCCCCCAATATTTGTGTCGCACTGGCAAGTTAAATGTGCTTGAGCTCGAGTTTTATTATACAGGTTTGAGCTAGCTAATGAGTCGGCTTGTTTATGAAAGAAGAAAAATAATTATCATATTAAAATAATAAAAATAACTAGAATTTAGAGAAAAAATAAAGAATCAATTAATGCAATAAAGTGATATAATTATTAAACCTTTTAAACAACTTTATATTTAAAATTATGAATGCTAATTTTATTTTAAGTGCATTTCATATTACTATTTTTTTAATCAAGTTGACTCGTGAGCTAATGAGCCGAGTCAGGGTTGACTCAAACTTGCTCGTTAACTCATCGAGTTCAGCTCACTTATCGGGCCAAACTCATGAGTCAACTTGACTCACTTACATCCTTACAATAAACACTCAAAACATAGTTTAGATGATGAACTTAAGATACGAGATGTTGCTCTCAAGAAATAACAAAGGCAATAGGATTGGCGACAATCAAATCCCTTAAATAATGAAAAATCAATCATATTGTCTTTAATTAAAAAGCAGTTTTGAAAAGCATTAAGAAAGTTGTCCCAAACGAAACTTTATTCTTTAATAAAATGATAATTAATAACCATATGTTTCATCAATAAGAGAAATATATGATTCACACAGAGGTAAATGATAATTAAACTCATAATAGTATTATAATACATAATCTACTAAATTTTTATTTCATACTACTTACATACATACCATTTTATTTCATGCTATTTACATAATATTACATTTTTACCGCTTATTTAAAATTTTAATATCAAATATAACACTCTTATATTTCATTCTTATCACCCATATCACCCTGTAAACTTTAATATTTCATTCTATGTATCCAGATTTATTTTATGGGTGGTAGTCATATCTTATTAAAATTTTAAAGGTTAAATATGTAAATGCATGAAATATAGTGGTATATATGTAAATCCACTATTTTTATTTTTTTTTTTAAATTATTTCATAGTACATCTAATTATATTTATATCTACATACATGCACTGCTTTTTTTCTTCTATAAAAATTATAGCTATTCGTATCTCCCGCAACGACTCACCCTAGCCATTGGCGCCGCAAAACCCTACCAAAACCCTTGCTCTCTCGCTTTCTCCTCGGTTTGATCTCTGTGTTCTTGATGCGATATCAGCTCAACGCGAGCTTGGGACGCTTGCAAGTCTAACTCTTAGCCCTAATTTCCCGGTATTGGAGTTTGCAGGCTCTTTTTCTTCCTCTTCCTCCCCGGCCAAAACCTTTGAAAGCTTGGGATAATCCAGAAAAAAAGTATTTTTTTTTTCTTTTTTCAATTTACGATCGAAGCCCTAGCTGTGATCTTCTATCTTTGTTAGCTCGCTGAAATGCCGCTTGGTCAGAGGGTTGGGGATAAGAGCGACTCGCGCTACTGCGGTGTTGAGACAGATTTTATCGATGACATGCCCCATGTCCTCACTCATAACCTCTCCGGCGGCTTTGATTTTGTTGTGGCTCCTTTGGTTAGTACAAACTGTTCTCTTCCGAGAGTTGCATTGAGTGGAAATTGTGAGCTCTTATTGTTTTTTTGTGGAAGAAACAAATTTGTTTTAATATGCTTTTTTATTCCAATTAAAAATGTTTGTTCTGAAAGTAATGAGATTCTATCCCGTTTCTACGTTCTGCAACATGTACAACCCTACCTGTTCCATTACCCTATTCCAAAGAGAGTGAAACAAGTGTTTGTTTAGTGCCATTATAGTTCAAGTTATGTGGTGAAGTAGGAAGATCGTCGGAGAGGTGATTATGATCGGTGAGAACTGTTCAGAGCACAACGATATTATGAACACATAAGAGGAAAACCAGAATCGGATAACTGTTATATTTCCCTTTTGTTTATTCCCTTGCTTCTTACATTCCTTTTTGCATAACTGGCAAACAAATACTAGTGGAATAAAAGGACATGCATCTATGTGAGCAATTTCTAAAAACAAAAAATTCAGAAAAAATGCAGGGATTGGAAGCAAACGGGAGGCGGGATACTAATACTGTTGCTGCATCAGTCTTTTCCACTGTCGTAAAAACATGATCCTAAGTTCAGGTTGAGAATAGCAGGCCTGTCCGGTAGGTGATACTCAAATATCTTAAACATGGAAGGTCTTAGATATCCTGAGGTGATTGAGCAAATTAATTTTGTGGATGTTGCTATTGATTTTTCTTCAAATTGAAAAGGGACCAATCTTCGTTGGTTGTAGCTTTAGAGTAGTGCCCTTCATTGTTTAAGGGCATAATCCGCCCGATTCGTATCTTCTACTCAGTCTTTGAAAATGAAGGTGAACTTCTAAAGGAATAGTGCCCACTGACGTGCATACGAGCAAGTTTCTTTTGGGAGTTGAGGTATGCTAAATAAATTCTAATGGAACTAGATAATGTTCCCAATATTGGAGAGCTTGCACAATTGCATGTAATGCTTGCTCATATATGGTCCACTGTCCACTCCTGCTGGGCATCACTAAGATTCTCGTTGTAGAACTCCATGGGTTAGTTGCCTTGAGTGAGGACATCTCCTATTTCGTTTATACAAACTTGAGCTTCAACTTTGAAAATCCAATCAAAATTTGTAAGAACTTGAACCGATACGATATTAACTTAGCTTGTATTAGAGTAAAACTTGCGTCTTGCTTGCCATCGCTCATGAGTTTCTCTTTCCTTAAACGGTTGGTAATTGATTTTACCATAATGTTGAAATTGCATATGAATGTGCAATAGAATGTGGCGAGACTGTGGAAGTTGTGGAATTTGTGCAGGGTGATTGAGATTAGCCAATTTAGTATGCATTTTGTTTTCTCATTATTAACCTGAATCCTTGGATTGATTTTGACGAGTGCTAGGAACATAATTTTTCGGCGAGGAACTCATACTTCTTGATGTTGATTTTATTTGGTTTTGTTCTAAAACTTGATATTTCTCTGTTTGATTTACTATATCTGAGGATTTTGTTGAAGGATCACAACTTGATTCTTCTATCGCTTGAATGTTATGCATAATTTATAAGCTGAAAGGCATGACTTGCCACTCGAACAAACCCGCTTGCGATTTGAGGTTTGTTTTTCTTTTAGCCTGATGTGTACTTGATGATAGTTGCTTTTGAGGTCTAACTTTGAAAACATGCTCAATCCTTTTAGCTTGCCAATATTACTTTTGTCACAAGAATGGGAGGTGATATTTGAACGCATGTCCTTTTTGAAATTAAATAGTATTTTAATTGGATACGGTTTTGCTGTATCCGACTCGTATCGGCGCCATATTAGACGCGTATCCATGTCCGACACATATTCGATACAACAAGCCTTCGTAAATAGGTGTATTGGTGCAACATAGTGGATGATTTGGGGGTTGATTTAGAGGAAATCAATTAGGAGATGTTTCCTAATTGAAGAGGGCAGATTTTGGGGTTGATTTGGAGGAGATTAATTAGTTTACTAATTGAAGAGGGCTGATTTGGGGGCTGAATTGGAGGAGATTAATTATGAGATATTTTATAATTGAAGAGGGCATATTTGAGAGGGAAATAGGGGAGGGTTGTTTTGGGATTTGATATGTTTTGTATGCTTTAAATAAGTTGTTTACCCAAGGGTTCAGTTTTTATGTTTGATTTTGCTGGAATTAGTTTTGCTTGGGTTGAGTGGGCTCTAGTCGACAGCTAGGGATTTGGGAGAGCCAGATCTTCCTCTCCAATTGCAGATCTAATGGCATCTTGTGTTTTTCTTCTTAGTTTTTTTTTTTTAAAAAGGTTTTATGTTCTTCCTAAATTTATTGTGTCATTCTCCGGTTTTGCTGAAATTGCATCCACTTCCAATCATAATTTTATTAGTAGCTCGATTGCTCATGCTTATACGAATAGGGTTGCAAATGAATTGAGCCGAGCTGAACATTTGTTTCGTTCTATTACTTCTTTATTTATGATTCATGAACTTTATTAATTTAATATTTGAAAATATTAGTGGAATTTAATATTTTTAATCGATTTCAAATGACTAAAATTGACTCTACAACCAAAATCTAAAGAAAGCTAAGATTACAACTAATAAATAAACCAATATTTAAAGAATCGAATCAAACCAATCAAATAAGATCGGTTATGTTTGGTTTTTCTGTTTTAACCAAATAATGCACACCCCTACTTTTAGTTTATATGCCACTAGCTTGACCAGCTTGTCTTTCGTAATCTCCATATATTCCAAGAAAGTTTCTATAAATTTGAGTCAATCAAGCCACACTTTGATGCATATGTGTCCATTTAAATACGGGATGCAAAACTTGAGCTTAAAATTGGGCTGATAAGGGTATCATGTATATGGGCGATGAGCATATCCATGGTTGCGATATGCCCAAACAATTTTATATATTGTGTAAGAACTAAAAGTTTCAAGTCGGGATTGTTGCTGAGGGGATAAATCAGAGTCGAGATACACTCAAACCTTTTTTTTTTCTCTTGGGTTTCTTTGTAGTGTTGTTGATCAGTGCGGGCTTGCTTAATGGGTGTTGTGTTCAGGAACATTTAGCTTCACGGTGAGGTTGGGGTTAGGGTTTTTCCCATTCATCGCGATGAGGATCTTCTGCACGTCTAAGGAGAGAGTGTAGACCTTCCTCTCGTGAGTGGTGACGGTTGGCCAAAGGGCTTACAACCTATGATCTTCGTCTACGTCGCGATGACTATCTTCTCCTCCACCAGGCATCACTTGGGAATGCCAAGCTCTGATCTTAACTAATGTAGAAAGGTCATTGGAGGGGTGGGGATGATTGCGAGACTGATTCAGAGATCTATGATGTATGTAGCAAACACATAAGAGGTAAAACCAGAATAGGAAAACTATTCTAATGCCCTTTCATTCCTTCCCTTGCTTCTTACATTCCTTGCCTTAGTGGCAAACAATGACTAGTAGAATAAAAGGACAAGCAGTGAAAAAGTGATCATAAAACAGAAAATTCAGAAGAAGTGTAGGGAGTGGAAGTGGAGGGTGAGACAGCAAAGATAGTAGTATTGCTGCATCATGAAGTATATAGAAGCTGCAGAATATGATTGTAATTTATTTGAATTCTTAATCATTTCCTGAGTTAAGATTTTAAGAACTGCGAACATCTGAACTCCAGAAGTTCAGCATTTTCTACATGTTCAAATTTAACAGTTTTTTTTGTTAATTTTATTTACTGAACACTAATGCTCCTAATTACTCGACAGTTCTGTGTTCCTGAAACTGCTTGAATTTCTGATAACATTAGTATATCTAAATGCATTGACACTGATCTATTTTTTATTTTTTATTTTCTTGCCACTGTTGGCATGTATGTGATCTTCTAACTACTTGCAGGTGGATCCAAGTTATAGACCTAGTTTCCCAACTAATAGTGCCAGTGAAGGCTTTGTTCTCCCTGTTGCAGCTTCAGACTTGATTGTGAGCCCTGCACAATGGAGCAGTCACGTTGTTGGTGAGTTTGAATTAAAATATTTGATTTCATTTTAGTAAGTTAGTTGATCTAATGTTCTCATTATGAATGCAATGTCTATTTAGCATATCGTAGAATGGAACACTTATATTGTCTGAGTACATTTTGGGCTTATTTATTTATTATGACATACTTTTGATCGTTTTAAACAATTTGTTAATCCTTTTGGATAATAGGGGATTTTAGAGTGAAATTTATTTTTGTTTCGAGCCCCTAAGAGGCATTTGTGATCACTTTTTTTGTTTGTTTATGCTTTAATAACAACAACATCAAGCCTTTATCCCACTACGTGGGGTCGGCTACATGAATCCTTTTTCTTCATTGTGTCCTATTAAAGATCAAATTCTCATTTAAATCTAATAAAGAAAGGTCATTCCTAATATTTTCTAACCAAGTCTTTTTAGGTCTGCCTCTACCTTTCTTAACATAAGTCAAATCTAATACCTCTACTCTCCTAACAAAACTCAAAATTATTTTGAATATTTTCAAAATCAGTTTGATTTATTAAAAAAAAAAGACAACAAAAACAACTAATAAACATACAAACCAAATATGCTTTTCAAAATAAAAAAAATTTAAAAAGTAGAAAAAGTGATTTCAAATAAACTCCTAAATAACTCGATTGATACCAGCTTCGTTATTCTTTAAGCATGTTTTATTTATTGGTGCCTTGAGAATTATTGCTAATATGGCTATAAACGAGTTGAGCCAAGCTTTGATATGTTCATGTTCGAGTTCGAGCTCGTTTGTCAAGTCCCTGTTTGAACTCGTCTCGATAAGAACTGAACTTTTTTATCTCTATTCGAGCTCAAGTTGGTTTAAAAAATACATGTTCAAGCTCATCTCGTGTTCATGTTTGTACTTGGTTTATTTTAGGCTTATCAAACCAATTAACAAGCTGCTCGTTTAGGCTTATTGAGCCTATTAACGAGCCTTTCATTTAACAAAATAATATACCTTGATAAGCCTATTAGCGAGCCACTCATTTAACAAAATAAGATAACTCAAACGAGCAGGCCAACCTGTCCCCATCGCCTTCTCGCTGCATAGCAAATGTTCCACACATGTTTTTAGTTTTATAGAGCAAAACCAAATCACTTCAAGCATTCTGGGACTAAACTTCCCACTTTTTTTGGGTTTTCTTGATGCCACGGAGGAGAGAGAGACTAAGACGCGTGAATTCGAGTTGCGGAATTCAAGCGCGGGTGGAATTCATACAGGTGAGTCATGATTGCGGGTTATAGTTAAAAATTCACTTGAAAATCACAATGCATTGTGATTAATTAAATTCAAGCTAGAGGGAGGGATATTTTTATACTATTTTAGTTTAAATTAGTTAAATAAGGTGAGACTTAATCACCTTATTAGTTAACAAAGTTATAATAATTTTTTTAATTAAATAAGGTATAATATTTGTTTTTACCTTATTTATTCTAAGGTTAATTAGTTAAATAAGGTATAATATTTATTTTAAAATAATTCGAGCCGAACACGAGCCTTAATCGAGCATTAATTGAGCTTCTTAACGAGCTTGTTCACGAGCTTTAAAGGATATCGTTCCTGAACATAAACGAACCAAACCACAAGTTTTTCAAGCTCCTTTTTTTAGCTATCTAATATAATAATATTTTTCAAAAGTGTTCAGTTTGTTATAGCCCTAATTGGCTAATGACAGGTAAAACTTTTCCATAAATAATGGAAGGAGCATTTTGAGCTTGCATCATAGAATTGGCATGATCCAGTTTTTGTATTGGATGTTTCATTATTTGAACCTGTTTCTTTTGGACCTTTTTTATATCAAAGGTTTCAGTTGATATAACCTGTTGTGTGAGGGCCTTGTTTCTATTGTACCTTCAGACCACAGGTTCCACAGTTTCCGCTTGATATTGCATCTTGTATGAGCTTGCTTATTATCAAGTTTCATTACTACTATAATTATTTTGCTAAACGATATATGCTCTTTTCTTTCCCAACGGGTTTTGGAAAAGTTGGGAGCACCATGCCAATAAACCTATGCTAGTGGAAATGATTTGCTTGCCTGAATGCAGCCAAATTACCCATGTTGCTGTATTCCGGTTGTAGAACAATAATAGCATATGTACGTTTAATATATAGTGCTCTGCATTGTCTAAGCTGTTGATTCTTCCTTGCTTGCATAACAATGTGTTTTTATTTGCATCAGGAAAAATTAGCTCATGGATTGACTTGGATTCAGAAGATGAAAAACTTAGGATGGATTCTGAAACAGCTCTAAAGCAAGAGATTTCATGGGCTTCGCATCTGTCTGTGCAGGTGTAGCTGACTTATTTTTATAGGATTTTCTATCTCACTCAATTTTTTAAATTCCAAACTAAACTAGAAATATTCAATCCATTTGTATTAATTTATTTGTTCGTAACAAGTAGCTAAAAAATTTAATTGTTCTATACTTCTCTTTGAGTGTATTTTGTCCACTTCCAATTTAGAAAGTGGATAATATCATAGTAGCAATTGGAACTACAAACTAGTGATGTCCTGTAAATAGTTGCATAATTTGGAATCTTTTGTAGGATGTGATTTAGCATTTAGTAAGAATTTTTCGGGGTTACACCATAGAGGATTTAGATGATCAGCTTCTACAGCTTTTAAGTTAAATTAAAAAGGACCTCTTTCATCACTTAAGTGATGTTCTATATTTGAGCACCATAACAAAACTCGTTTTATGGTGAGGATGAACATTTTTTGTACTTACCATTATTTTCCCATAGTTCATGAGTCGCAAGTTTCCTTTCTCATATCTCTATTCTTAAGAGTTTTTGTCCACTTAAAAAAGACCAAAAGAAAAAGGAAAAAGAAAAGAAAATGTTATTGCTTGATTTAAAATGAATACAAATTTTACATATCTATATTAGTTACATTTTTCTTCTCGAAGGAGTTGGTTAAACATAGGTATGGGGCATTATTTTGGGAATTAGTTATAGTGAGTGGCTAAAGTTTAAAGTTTTGACCTTCTTTAATTTGATATTGACTACATATGACTTTGAATAGTGTTGAATTTATATTATTGTTGCATTTTCAATAAACATTCATCAATAAAAAGGTAATTAAAAAAAAAAAAAAAACTCAAGTAATATGCGAACTTGAATATTATGTGGATTATTCTTTTTTATTTTTTATGGCATTCTTTATATAGAAGAGAATTAGTTGAATAATTAGGGAGCTATTATTTTTTGTATATTTTGGTTAATTTTTATAAATCTTCTAAAGCCTGCTATTGGTCCTACTTTGGAATATTAATGGAATGGATGACAAGTGTCATGGATTTTATCATTTAAGTAAATAAGTTTCAATGAATTTATCCCACAACAGAAGAAAAAATCGTGTAAATTGTTTTGGAAAGAAAAAATTGGTGATGATTTATTATGCTCTCTTTCCCTGATCATTATCGATGAAAACCATCAGCTGAATATTTTCATGAAGAAATCAAAAGTTCTCTCTTATTGTCGAAGTACTGAATGAATACCTTTGAACATCGTCTGAACCATTGGCGATTAGCCTCACACTTATTTCAATCTTTCACTATTAAGGATGGATAAACACAAAAAATAGTCTATTATCTTCCAATGTTCTATCTGATGCTTCATTTTAATTATATACACAAATTGTAGCTCCTCTCCTTACTACTGTCTTAGCAATTTCTTGGACTAATGAATACATTTATATTGCCATAAAAATAGAGTTTTAGTTTCCACTTTCTCAATATTTATATAACATGAACAATATTGTTTCATTTTTTAGAGTACCTTCTCGCTCCTTTAATTTTTATATGCACATATTGTAGTGCATTTATGTTGTTCTTTTTATTTTTTAAATTTCTTAAATGATTTTGTCCATATTCTTGACATTGTTTATGAACTTTTCTCATGCAATGAGTTTCCAAGGCATTTATTGAACACATTGTACCCCTGATGTGGTCAATTCATTTCATTTTACTTGTAAATTTGATGCACTTCCTTGATCCGTTATGATAGCACTTTGAAAAGTGGAATACTTATGATGAGGACATCGAAATACATTTTCGACGAGTATATCAGAGCAGGAGGCACAGATCGATGGCTACGATCCACAACCTTTATTTTGATGCTTAGTTCTTATTTTGATGTTTATGTATTAATTGCTATTTACGATTGTACCCTTTCTTTTGAGTTGTCTTGAGTTGTAGCCCCAGGGGCATTTGCGTCTTTGTCTTTTTGTTTCCTTAGGCTTATATATTGTGGCCTCCTCTATTGTAATGGATGATGATTATGAAATGAAATTTTATGTTCTTTGTTTGATCTCTAAGTGAGTTCGTGAGAGGAGAAGCCCTAGGAGGGCGATAGCAAGACCCGTCAACCGTTGGTGGATTCCAAGGTTCGCGGCCGCGGTCTCTTTTCTTCCCTGACCTTCAATTCTTTCCCAATCAACCACCGCCAGACTTCCCTAACCAAAGCATCTAATTTTTCCCCAAAACCCGAGCCCCTTCCCCCCATCCTGCCGGCCACCTTGGCCGCCCCACCGCCGGCCAACCCACCTAGCCGCCGGCCTCCCTCCTCCACCATCCATTCCTCTACTTGCTCAACCAGCCGGCCCACCTCCCCAAGTCCTCTCATTTGAAATTCAAATTTCAAATGTGCATTAATCACTTTCCTAAAATAAGTCTAAGTAATTAGGAAAGTTAATTGGATTTCAATTCAAATTTGAAATTCAAATGCTTTCCAATTGCTAGCACTTAAATTTGTTAACTTCTCCTTTTAGATTAAATCTAAAATTCACATTAATAAATTTATTGTAAAAAAAAAGATTAAATCTAAAATTCAATTCATATTTTTTTTTTAAAATCCATGTTTATTGCTTGGGGCCCACTTAATTAAACCTAAATCCCTCTCCCACTCTCTCTATTTGGCCGGCCACCTATCCCCCTCTCTCTCTTTCTCCTATTTCATTAATTGCCACCAATTAATCCCCCTTAATTCCCTCCTAATCTCCGCCCCCCACCTTTATGGGCGCAGTTTGAATTTCAAAATTAATTCCCTCCCTCCCATCTTTATCAAAATATGAATTAATTTCAGATTTTTACTTCTCCATCCCTCTTCTTCTCTTCCCAAATCCACCCGAATCCCCCACCATCCCCTCCTCCTCTTGTCCGCCTCTCCTACACCCCTACTTCCCAATTACACACAAAGTCCTCTCATGATCATGAATGGCAGATCCGGCAGTTGATCATGGCTTTGCTTACAACGCCCAAGGTGAGATTGGCATCCTACTCTCTCCCTTCTATGAGCCAGATAGGGAGTACGACGACACAGTGGAACGCTATGTCAACCGCATTGTTTATTGTCTCGTCGAGACTATTGAGCTTCAACGACCAAGAACCTCGTGGTTCCTCATTGGACGATCCTTGCCTCCTCCACCTCCGACTACCTTCCCAACAACCAAGCTCCTCGGCTCTTCCTTCCTAGTGGTCATCTCATATGGTGTGGAAGATCTTCATCCGCTAAGCCTAGAACCGTAGAGAGAGAGAGAGTAAATCATTTAGGTGAACATCTCAATATTAAATTTCGGATTTGTGTTATAAGCTATTACATTATGGTCGCATTTGTATTTTTTATTTTTTTTTTATGGTCTCATTTGTATTTGATTGAGAGTGTCTTGGTTAATTATTAAAAAAAAATATTGGTGTATATTGGAAAAGGTGAAGTTGATGTAATCCATGCATGGGGTTACAAGAGATTAACAAGAGAATTTATTAAAAGTTAACCATCATAAAATTATGCGTCAAATCAAAGTAAGATGTTAAAATTCGCAGTCTTCCATTTGCTTAGTCAAAGAAATACATTAAGATTAACTAGGACACTCTCAATCAAATACTAAGGCGAACGTAATGTAATAGCTTATAACACAAATCCGAAATTTAATATTGAGATGTTCACCTTGAGGGTTTACTCTCTCTCTACGGTTCTAGGCTTAGCGGATGAAGATCTTCCACACCAGAAGTGAGATGACCACTAATAAGTTCATCCGCTAAGCCTAGAACCGTAGAGAGAGAGAGTAAATCATTTAGGTGAACATCTCAATATTAAATTTCAGATTTGTGTTATAAGCTATTACATTATGGTCGCATTTGTATTTTTTTATTTTTTTTTATGGTCTCATTTGTATTTGATTGAGAGTGTCTTGGTTAATCTTCATGTATTTCTTTGCCTAAGCAAGTGGAAGACTGTGAATTTTAACATCTTACTTTGATTTGACGCATAATTTTATGATGGTTAACTTTTAATAAATTCTCTTGTTAATCTCTTGTAACCCCATGCATGACATCAACTTCACCTTTTCCAATATACACCAATATTTTTTTTGTCCCGCTTAACGCAGAACTCTTATTTTTAATAAACTGATGCTCTTAATCTAATCATTAATTTCAGGCTTGCCTTTTGCCCCCTCCTAAGAAAGGGTGTTGCAGTAATTACGCACGATCTGTGAACCAGATCTTGCAAGGTATAACCAATATGCAGGTAATCCCTGCGTCTTAAATCTCATGAGATTTACATGTTTATTGTTTTTATTGAAGAATTAGATCGTCTCTCTTTTCTTATGTATCTTTCCCATAAAGCTGTGGCTTAGGCTGCCACTGGTGAAGTCTGGCTCCATAGAGAATGAATCGTTTGATGAAAGTTATGACTCTTTGGTGAGTGCAGTTGCATGTCAGCTCATTTATTTTAGACAAGTGTTATTCATTGTGTTGCTAATTCATAAATCATAATTTCTATACACTAAACTATAAAGTCCCATAAACAACTGTTCTGCTACCTTGATGTTAAAAGTCCAGTAATTAGATACAAGTACTACTCTGTTATACATTGGACTTCTTTTTGGACTGTCATAGGCTCCGTTTGGGACGGCTTTTTTACTGTTTCTTAAAACAACATTCTAATACAAAAATTAAAATTTTATACTAGAAAGCTGCTTTAAGAAGCAATAAAAAAACTGTCCCAAACGAAGCCATAGTTCCATGCAGAATGTCATCCATTTATTTCTTGCAGAGTGGAATACTTTATGATTCTTGGGAAACATGGAACTCATTTCGATTGCTATGTGAGCATCACATTCAGTTGTGCGTAGCTCTTGATATTCAGTAAGTGAGAATGTCTGCAAGGACCTAATTTCTCTGCAAGTCTTGTAATGATTTTGGGTGTGGGTACTGCAATAAGGTGTTAGTGGGTACTGCAATAACAGCTTTTGCATATAACGTTGCAGGAGTTCACTTCCATCAATCAACTCTCTACTGCGCTGGTTTGGTGAGCCTGTTAGAGCAGCAATCATTCACACAGATGTAAATATTTATACAACCTCAGAAGCTTGCATACTTTTTAAGTTCATTATTTTTCCATGGTTCTAACAGATTGTTGACTGTGGTAGGCGTTTCTAACTAATGCAAGGGGCTATCCTTGCCTATCAAAGCGGCATCAAAAGCTAATCATAGCATTCTTTGACTTTGGTTTTCAGGTACTTACGTTTTCTTGTTTTTAATTATCATAGAGCACTTAACTGCTCCTTAGATGTTTTCATATGCCTTTTTTTCTTGGCAATATTATTATGTTGTTTCTTGGAAATTTTCAGATTGTAATCTCTGGTAGTTTGATTCATAGTATTCCGCAAGGAAGGTTGGAAGTTTTTCCTGCCAATGATAATGACAACCTGGGTGAAGGTATGCCTATGGTTTGGATTACTAGTTCTTGTATAAGAAATGATTTAAGCTGAATTCATGTAACCGGGTGTATAATGATGGTAATTTTATGAAAATAGACCTTATTAAAGTTCTTTGTTATTATTCTTGTATATTCAGGTGCACCTCTAACACATGAGCTGAAGCCTTACCTGGAGTATGTAGCTTACCTATACCAAAGAATGGATCCTCTTCCTGAGCAAGAGCGTTTTGAGGTATCTTATAATTTTATGATTTGATGCTTTGATTTTTGTCATTTATTTGCTAATTTTATGCTATCTAAAATTGTCTTCTTTCAGCTCAATTACAGAGATTTCCTGCAGGCTCCATTACAGGTATTTTTTCCTTCTGGTCATCCTTTTAAAATTAAAAAATAGATGCTTCTTGTCCATTGATTTAGTAATTTTAAACTTTGAGGATAGTCCTTCCTTAGGAAATGTTCAAATTTATTACTTTTATATTCTTTTTGTAGCCTCTCATGGATAATCTCGAGGCTCAAACCTATGAGACATTTGAGAAAGACACAGTAAAATATAACCAGGTTTGTGTGAACTTCTATTCTCAAATGAAAAAATGCTTTACCTTTCTCCATATCTTCGTAGTTGCATAAATGGGCTGCCAATCAATTAAACTCGACAAATTTCGTAGATATTGGTTTCAGGCTCCGTAAAATCTATCCCCCTTGTAATTGGATTGTTCTGCTTGTTCCGACTTGACAATAGGCATTTGAAGTCATAGCTATATCAACTTTTTTGCACGTTTGGAACTATCAATGTCATCTGATAACTTGATTTCTTTTTGTGTTTAACTCATTTATTCTTGTATATATGGTATAGACGAACATTATAAAGTACCCATTTGCTGTTCGTGAATATAGATACGTGTTATAATAGATAACTGTATTTATTTATCACTTTTTTCTTACACCATAGTTTGAGCTATGTTATTTTCATTTGGGCAGTACCAACGTGCAGTTTGTAAAGCTTTATTAGATCGAGTCTCTGATGAGCAGGCTTCATCATCAAATACGGTGAGAAAATTTCAAATGTGTTTTGTTCTTTCGGATGATTATAGTTGCAAGCCTGTTCATTTGACACTAGTCTTATATAGGCTCTGATTTTCACTTTGGTAGAGTTGTTTTACAAGTTTCTGCCTACTTTTTTCATCACTTTATCTGACGCATCTTGATATTTTTACTCCTAAGGTGCTAATGGTTGTAGGAGCTGGAAGAGGGCCTCTAGTGCGTGCCTCTTTGCAGGTTGGTTCCTCATTAGGATGACTAATACAAACTGTAGAAATTATTGCTTTTAAGTTTTTTAGCTTTACCAACAAATCAATGCGACGGTCTTTTCAATGCATGAAGCTGTGTTTCATCTTTGAAAGCTTTATACCAGACAATTGCCTATTGATCTATGACCTACCTTGGGTTTCATTTAATAATGTCATTCTACTTTTGTGTTATATATGAAATTAAATTTCTTATTCTGACATAGCTGGAAGGGTGCTCCTTAATTGTGTCTCCAGTGTTCATAAAGTAGCAGAGGGTGCACATATGAGGTGGGTTTTTTCATAGCATATTTTCAAACAAAACAAAACTACTCTTGCTCATTTGAGGTTTTTTGCCTTATTTTGAGCTCAAGACTTTCTTATTGATGGAATTTTTTAAAAACTGTATTTTTTTTTTACTCCCATCTTATTTTGTTTTGTTTAGTTTTTTTTGCTTTGATCCTAATGTTTGGATCGTGTTGTCAAGATTTTCTTAGAGATGTCTCAAGCCAATTTAGCTCACTTGAGCCTTAGACACTGATTGACTATGGTGCATTCTAACCTTTTCAGATTTTTGCGATTAAACATATAACTATTTAAAAGTATGGTATGACATGTTTTCTTGTATAATTTAAGTGTGAAATAATTGAAACTTTGAACCCTTTTATTTGGATTGTTTTTGATATTATGACCTCTAAATGCTTGACATGATAATTCATAGATATACATCCAGGTAGGCATTTTTTATTTGCTGATCTTATGATGATCCCTTGCTTCTGCTTGTTTGGTTGTGCAGGCAGCTGAAGAAGTTGGCCGGAAAATAAAGGTTTATGCTGTGGAGAAGAATCCAAATGCTGTGGTGACACTTCATGTGAGTGAGCTATAACTGATGATTTTAAAGTGAATTAAAGCGATATTATTAGTTGCTATGAACTATCCTGAATGTATCATCTTTTAAAATGCACATCATAGTGGATATTGCATTCCACTAGATATTGAAGCACGGATAGTTTCAGACTATAACATTTAACTCTTCAATGCTACTTCAAAGGCTGATTCTTAACGAGCTATTTCTGCTATAAACGTGCTTGTATATGGATGGCAGAGTCTAATCAAACTAGAGGGGTGGGAGAGCATAGTTACTGTGATTTCTTGTGATATGCGCTGCTGGGATGCCCCTGAAAAGGCTGATATATTGGTAAATGATTTCCTGACTTTGGTGATATTTAGACACAATTTCTTATGGCAGGAAAACTATTTACTCACATGGTTGTTGTTGGTGTATTGTGTTAAGGTGAGTGAGTTGCTGGGCTCCTTTGGTGATAATGAACTTTCTCCTGAGTGCTTAGATGGCGCACAAAGATTTTTGAAACCTGATGGCATTTCCATTCCTTCTTCGTATGCCTCACAGATACCTGCAATCATTTTGTATTTTCATCATACTATTTGATGATTTTGGTGAATTCCATTTATTTTACTACTTTGGAATGGATCACTTAGGTATACAAGTTATCTCCAACCGATTACCACTACAAAACTGTACAATGATGTAAGCCACCTTAAACTCTTTTTTTGGTGAATGTGTTGTATGTAGGTGTTACGATAGTTTATTGTCTTTTGCAGGTGAAGGCAAATAAGGACCTGGCACACATGGAAACACCCTATGTTGTAAAATTGCATAAAGTAGCTAGGCTTGCTCAGGCACAACCTGTAAGCCTACCTCATTTTGCTTTTTAATTGCATTTAAGGTTTTTTTGATGTGGTTGCATTATGGCTTTGTTTGGAATGGCTTTTTTACTGCTTCTTAAAGCGGCTTTCTAGTATAAAAATTTTAATTTTTATACTAGAAACCGCTTTAAAAACCGTTCCAAACAAAACCTATATTTCCTATGTTCAAAAAAGGAATATCTTCAGTAATCTTTCCATTATAAAGCTCTCACATTTCTTACTTTTCTGCTTCTAAATTTTTTTTGTTATGCGTATATTGAAGATTCCAGATTATATCATTCTTATTTCAAACTTAATCAGGTGTTCACATTTCATCATCCGGAATTCTCTCCCAACAGAAGCAACCAGAGATATGTTAAGCTGGAATTTGAGATACCTCCTGATACGGGGTCTACTTTGGTGCACGGTGTGATTTAAAATCTTATTTATTCATCTATTTATTGATTGAATTATTTTTTATTTCACTTTACTAACACAAACCTAAAGCATCACCCATTCCCTGCCCAGTCTAGCCTTTTTAGGCTCATTTTCTAGTTTCATTACAGCACAGGATGAGATGGTGAATAAAAATTCCATACTTGTTTTGCTTTTAGGATTTGCTGGCTACTTCGGTGCAGTTTTATATGGGGATATTTATCTTAGCATAGAACCATCAAAGCCAACACCTACTATGTTCAGCTGGTAATGTTCTTACATCTACTTGTCCGTTGCTCTCCATTTTCTGCTGCTCTGACATTTACTTCTTTCCTTTATTGCTGAGTAGGTTTCCCATATTCTTTCCATTGCGGACGCCAGTTTATGTACCTTCTGGTTCTCATCTTGAAGTCCAGTTCTGGCGCTGCTGTGCTCCAGCTAAGGTTCTTTCCTCATTTGATCTCTGCATTATTTTTAGGGTTGCAAGCGAATCAAGCGTTGGACGGGCTATTCGTTGCTCGGTTCGATTAAAGTTTGTTTGTGATCGTTTAATTAACTAAATAAACAAACTTGAATGATATTTTAACTCGATCCTTAAATAAACAAGCTTGAACACTAATGTGTTCGACTCATTTATATTCATGAATAACAACATTTGAAGCTCGTGAACAAGCTTGACTTTAAGCTCAATAAGAAGTTCGATAAAAAACTTGATTCATTTTCGATTAAGAACTCTTGAATAAGCTCGATAAAACTCTATTAATATTTAATTGGAAAATTGATAACATAATATAAATATTTTAAATGTAGTATAACATAATGATATTATTATTTTAATTAATAAATTTTAAAGTAATTAAATATTATAATATATGCTAACGAAAATAAATTTTACATATTTATTAAATTCATATTATATATTATTTAATTATAATTATTTTAATGTTCGGTTCGGTTTGTTCATGAATGTGCTTGTTTGATAGTTTTAAAAAAATTGCTAAATATGTTCATGAATAAGCTCGTTAAGACTTGTTTGTATAAAGCTCGATAAGCATTAAACGAACCGAACATGAACCAAACATGAACGCCGATTAATTTAAACGGATCAAACACAAACCGAACTTGAACAAGCTGATAATAAATGAACTCGAACATGAACATTCACATACTTGGCTCGGCTCGGTTCGTTTGCAGCCCTATTTATTTTATCGTCACCGCTCAAATGTTAGATTTTCATATTTTTGCAGGTCTGGTATGAGTGGTGTGTGACATCACCAATTACTTTACCTGTGCACAATGTTAATGGTCGTTCCTATTGGGTAGGTCTGTGATTCCATGATTAAAAAGCTAAACTAAGACCCGGATTTTTGGCTTCAAGTCTATGATGCCAAGGCCATCAACCATAGCTGTGAAAAAAAACCTCAACTTGCTCAGTTTTTGCTGTGCCAGTTTACCCCAAAGATGTTAACTGGATGACATGATGGATTTTTCTTGGTATGTGAGCTGACTCATGCTTCGTTTGAAATGACTTTCTTATTGCTTCTTAAAGCTGCTTTCTAGTACAAAAATTAAAAAATTTATACTAAAAAGCAGCTTTAAGAAGCATTAAGAAAGCTGTACCAAACGAAACCTCGATCCGGTTTACTGGATTGAAAATAAAATCTGGTTGTCTACCTAATTTCTTAGGATGATTTTGTTGTGATGCTTTTAGATTGTCTGATTCTGATCATGTAATTTTTGTGTTCTAGCTTCCTATGTAAACATTTTTTTGTTGTTGTTGTGAATTGTTACAGGTAAAATAGATTAGGTTACTTTGAATGACTCATTAAGGAAATGAGTATAGATTTTAAAGTTGGATAACAATCTGATTTCAAGGTAACCTTGGCCTAAGATTGGCTTGAAGACATTTGATATGATCTTGGGCTGAGCTATATTTGGTTACAAGTTGGCTTGATTTGGTTTAGCTTGAGTTAGTCAGGAATGGTTGAGCATGATCAGAGTTCAATTTGAATAAAAATTTTATTTGGTCTTGATTTTTTTTTTTTTCGTCTTTGATGGGGAGTTTCTAGTGCTATATATGTGCATATATTTCAAATACAAATTCCTACATAAATGTGCATATTCACTCCCACATATATAAATGTTTTTCTATTTGATGTTTTGCTAACTCCAATTAATGTTTAACTCAATTCCATTTTGATCTGAATTAAGGTCTTATTTGATGAGAAATTGTGTGGAGGCCGGACGCATAATGTCCTCTGGAGATAAAATCAGAATGTGCCAAGTCAGCGATACCGACTCGTATCGAGCAGCATTGGGTCGCGGCACCGAGCAAAGGGGTGATATGGCGCATTCTGGTTGATCTCGGATGGCATGCAGCGTTACACAAAATAATTAATTTAGTTTTTTTATTATTTTATACAACAATTTGTTAGCATACAAATTTTTTGAACGTAATAGAAAATAGTTACCAAAAGTAATCCCAAATGAAGCCTAAATTTGAGTCTAAGGCTTCATTTGAGGCAGCTTTTTAAATGTTTTTTAAAGCAATTTTATAGTAAAAAAATTTTAGTTCAAGAAAATTTTATTTTAGAAAGATGCTTTAGAAAGTATTAACAAAATTGCCTCAAAAGAAGCCTAATTTGCTCTTCAAAAGTTCAATTTCACTTGAGAAGTTCATCTAAAGTTTAGACAGGCTCAATTGTAAAGGCTTGCTCAACCTTCTAAGTGAAGGGAGATTTCCCCTCACATGCTATTTTTAATGCCACCATGAAGAATGTTCAAAATCTTATGTATAACTACAACAATCTCACCAAATGGTGGAAGGAGGTTTTTGGCTTAATTTGTACGGTGGCCAATGTTGATGTTTGGCGTTGTTGGTGCGGTTATAAGAGCTTGATTGCGGTGTAAAGTATTCTCACTTAGAACTAAGCGAGTTTGCTTTACCATAAAAATGAATTAGAATGATTTACACTATATTTACTTAACTTCGAATTCTTTTTTCATCCAATTAAATATCAAAATTTTTAAAACCCATATATTTAAATGACTTTACACCCCAAAGTATTCCAACTACAGTCCCTAAATCAATTCTCTCTCTTAAAAAAAAAAAAAAATCAATTCCATCTCCTTGAAATAATTCATGTGTATAAAAAATTAAATGAATTTGAATTTATGAGGCTTACTAAAATCCTATTTAGTTCAATCCAGCCAAACGGCTC